AAGATGAAGATTCCTAACATCCATCTGCTCAAAAACTGAATGGGAAAATCTATTTTTAAAAAATGAAGGTGCTATTGTTCAGAGGATTAGAAGTGTGTGTGTATTCAAATCAGGCGTGTACAGGCCCCTTGTGTACAGGAGGCAGACTGGCAGGCGCTTTCTCATACATACACCCTTTTCTGGGACGCCGGCCAAATGTTTCTTTTGTTTGCACCTTCCTCTTGTCACTCCGGAGTTTTCTGTCCTTCACTCACGCACACACACGCTTTGTTTTTCTGTTCTTTACGTTTAAGAGATCGGGTCAGCAAAAGTTTCATGAAGAAAAACCCTTTAAAAATCTAAAAATGAACTTAATATGATGCGTCAGGAGTCGAGAACACTACCTCTGGTTTACTTGTTATTTACTTTCCGACAAGATGCTCCAAAACCAAAACCTGGTTGTTGTTATCTAAAGCCAGGATCTCACTGGGCTGTGATGTGAGCGACTGGCTGGAGACACAAAATTGGAAGGGAAAAAAATGCAATATTTCCATTGGGATCTTTCAGAATTTATTCTTTTGAGACATGTTTTAAAGTGACAGTGTGTAGTTTCCCTGACGATAGGGGCTGTACTTACCTGAATGATTGTAAGCAAGTTCAAGTAAGACCTTACCAGCGGGTGGCCATTAGGGTCAAAAATCCCTGGGAGCACAGCCTCCAGCAAAATAACAAGGTCAGACTTCCTTTCATCACTGGCAACGAGTGAAGAGGCAAATGTGTAAAACAACAACAATGCTTATTAATAGTGAAAGTTTTGTAACCATTTGTTACAAATCAGTAAATGCATTTTGTCCTTACAGGCTTCTGTAGAAGGAAACAAGGCATCCAGTATGGAGTCGCCCAGAGACTCAGACCCACTCCCGTGTATTTTAGAACAGATTTTTATGGTTATATGTTATGAAACTGCCAATATTTTTCATCAACTGGGCATCTTTTAATTCATTTACAACAACATTTCGATGGATATTTCCAGAGGTTAATAGTAAAAACGGCACGTTGTTACTTTAAACAGGGACAGGTCACATGATATCACCATGACAGATTTTCTCATCAGTTTAATCAAAAACTGTCTTGAGGTGTGTGATAGCAAGAATGTGGTGGCATGATATATCACAATACAGGGATTTATGGCGATACTAAAAACCACATGATATTTGCATTTTATTTGTAATTTATCATGAAATCTTCAGAATGAAGGCCTTAAAATCTGCTGCCACCTAGCAGTCGGAGTTAGAATTGCATCACACACAAATTACACAGAAAATGCCTTTGTGCAAATTATTAAGATCAGTCGATACACTGCTTTAAGATATCAGACAGTATTCGCTCAGGAGGCAGAGAGGGTTGTCCAGTAATTGGAAGGTTGTAGGTTCGATCCCGGCTCCCGCTAGATAATTCTTCTGTCCTTGGGCAAATAACTTAACCCGCCATGTCTGCTGGTGATGGTCAGAGGGACCGGTGGCGCCAATGTTTGGTAGTATCACTTCTGTCAGTGCGCCCCATGGCAGCTGTGGCTACATTGTAGCTCATCTCATCTGCCATGAGCGTCTCAGGGACGATACCCATGGGGAGGAGTGAATGTTCGGCGATCATGTTTGCATTCAAAACCTAGCTTGTTTGCAGATTCGCCATAACAACTTCAACTGGATACAAGAAACATCCTAAAAGTAACTAGTTTCTAGATAATTCATTGTCTTCAGTCACATGTTCTCTACAGTTTTGTTCTGAGAACCGGAAAAGCAGAACTCGGCTTTTTTAAAAGTCCACCACGTTTGGTGCAGTGACATCTAGTGGTGTAAATGATAAACTGCATCCAAATGGGATCAAGCCCACCGGTGTCGGTGCAGGATCGGCTCGGGGTCCTTCGACTGCCGATGACGTCAAAGTAGTTGATTGGCTGAACATGGAGCTTACGGAAGTTACGTTATCACGTTATGATTTTGATTGGTCAGAAAAAAATTGCGGTCATAGTCTTAGCGGTTGTAGTCCTGTAGTCCAAAAATCAACACTTTTTGGAGAGAATATGTTTGAATTTCTAAAGGAAATATAAAATATGAGCAAATGTTAAACGGTGACCCTCAAAAGCTCTTGATGTTGATGAAATGGGGCAAAATAAAATATAAGAACTTTATTGAAAGACACCAAGCAACATTTAGAGTCAAAGAATGTATTTAGATAACAACTAAGGAAATATACAGACGAGCTCCACATTAATACATACAGATATGGCTTCACATATAAGAACTGTTGTCTTTTTTGTCAGTCTGATGTTGGTTTCATGCAGTTTCACATTCTTTACAAAACAAAGATAATATGGTGTTTTATTAACAAATTACAATTATAAAGAAAACATTTAGGTGTTAACAAACAAGAATTTATTAACAAAACTGCTGAAGTCTTTCCAAAACGTGTGTGAAAGCCGAGTAGATTTGCAGTCATGCACTGGCGCTGGACCCCGAGC